ACAGATTCCACATGTTCCCATGGATAGTAAAGATTGCAAAATCAGGGCAAGCTTCATTCAGAAAAATAAAATCAACTCAACAAAGATTCATCATTTCAGTTTTGGCACTTGGTTCTGAAGGTTAACTATGTGCACTGTTCAGCTGACAGATCAGCTTCCTTATTTGAGCTTCCTGGCTGGCAGCCACTGTTTTATCATCATGCCTCTGACTAGCAGGGATTTTCAATCTGATCTAGAGTTTATAAGCACCTGCTTAATTGTTCTGCTGAACAAGAGATCTTTAGCTGTGTACTTTTATTTCCAGTAAAATACTTCACACCAATACATCACCTATACTTATTTAATGATAAATAAAATTATCCAGAATTGGAGTAATTATAATAATTTAGAACATCACTTAATGTCCATAAGGATTAAAAGCATCTTTGCTTTTAAATTTTGTAATGTGGGCTTCCATTCAACAAAATTCAATCACCAAAGAGATGCAGGTAACAAAAAGATGTTATGAAGGAAAAGTTGGCCAGCAGCACATGCAGTTAGAGCAGAGTAACCTCTAGGTTGTATTAAATCTTGTCTGTTGGAACACCATCCTGAGGCATCATCTGTGTGTGTGTGAGCAAAACTGTGAGTGAAGTGATGATAGGCTACAGATTGTTTCCATTCTGAGATGACTTTCTGATGGTAACCTAAGTCAGTAATGAGCAAAGATCATTTGTAGGAGAGCTGGGTGCAGGTGGGATCTGCTCAGGCTGTTTAGCTCCTGACAAACCCATTCATCATCACTTACAGACACAACCACAAGTGTCTGAAAAGCCTTTCTCACCTCAGCCAGTGGTCACCTGAGGTCAGGAAAACACATTTCTGTTGGGCACTGTCTGGAGCTAACTTGATGCTAAGGATTATCTGACTTGCTCAAGTCACAGAAACAATTTTTTTATTAAGTGACAAAATATCAGATCCTTCCAGTGTCCCCACCTGCTCCCACAGCATGGGACACTGACCAGATCCCCTCCCAGTGTGTCCCACACAGCGGAGACAGACACAAGTCCTGTCCCTGTCCTTGCCCTCCCCCAGAGGAAACAGAACATGTGTTAAGTACAGAGGATCAGAGCAGCAACACAGTGTTAGACCAAAATCTGCCTTTCACTTTTTCCATCCAATTTTCCTGATTCAGAAACTCATATTAACTGGCAGACAGAACTCTTAGATCATCATGAAACTGGTCTTTACAGTGTGGTCACAGAATTTCATTCACTCCTCTTTTGAACATAATAACAAATACCAAAGTGACGTGTCATTTAGGAAAGAAAAAACACTTTTGCTTTGGTTTAGACCCTTCAAAAGAAATGTTCTTATTTTTGGTGCTTAGTTTGAGTGAGGAATTCTCCTTTGGAAATATCTGGATTATTGCCATAGATGCACATTACACTTTTATTTTAGAATTGAAGACCACTTGAGTATCTGTGCCCTCACGATAGTAACACTTTCTTAGGAGTTGTCACCTTTTTAATCTATCATTCATCATTCTGAGCATCAATAGAGCTTCCTGCAGCAACATTCATGTTATTAAGTGAAGGAACTGTTATAATTAACTGCTATTATTACTGTTGGATGCACAACCTCTGTTCATATTGAAATATAGGACCCCTCTGAAGTAGTGCAGATCTAAAAGTAGTCTTGCCCATATTTTGTTCTCTTGCCTGTATTTTCTTCTTTAATTTACAAAATTAAGCATCAAGCGGTGCCTGTATTATGTCAGTGGCTACTGTTTGAAAGACAATTAATTATTTAAAATGTGTCTGTAACTATAGATCAAGATAAGCATAATTAATCACTTGGCAAAAAAAAAAAAAATACATTGCAAACTAATTCCTGGCTAATCAATCTTATCAGTGAGAGCAGTTTACCAGCTTTTAATTACCTTTGTTATGCAACCTTTGTTTGTCTACACCACATAATTGCATTATTCTCTTCTGACTTACCTGCCTTTCTTTAGGTCATCTTCTTTTCCACTTTCCCCCTGTTCCCAGAATGAAAGACTCACTATATCCAAACAACTCTGGAGCTCCTCATGGTCTGGACTAGCAGTGGTTCACAGTCAAGTATAGAGCAATACTCAAAACATGTGTGCAGAGATAATTTCTCATTTAATTGGTGAAAGCTGCAGGGAGTCAGAGGCTCCACATTCTGCAATTTTGTGCTTTTCTACAACCGTCACCCTGCTGATCTAAGTGGTTTCTCAGCAGGGATAGAAATAGACCTTCTATTGTCACTCTGCCTCCAACAGCTTCAATAAAAACTTTAACTGCTTTTCCAGAAAAGGAGGAGAGGCCATGACCAAGATTTGTTTTGGATATATTACCACAATGCTTAACAGCTCTTGTTGGGAAAAGCAGAAGAAACCAGAGGAGGAATTAAAGTTTGTCTTTAAAGTATAGAGGCAAGAGTAGCCTGAAAACAGAAAGTACTGAGGAAATTTTGTGGGGAACAAGAAGATATAAAGTGAAATAAATAGGTCAGGGGCGAAAGAAAGAAAAACATAAGAAGCAATTGTAGGGTTTGATGTAGTGGGGAAAAAAAAATAAATAAGCAAGAAAAATACCAGAATCAACAGATGTCAGGAAAACTTCTCCAAACTTTACACCAACTTTCAGGCCTCTCACTGTGTGTATGATCCTCCAAGCTGCATTGGAGCCAAATTTTTAGTAAATATAAAAACTTTCCACAACATGTGTACAAGAGCAATGTAAAAGCCCCTTTTACAAGCAGCCATCTGTACACATCTCGTGGTTAGTTCCATTTCAAAGAAGTAGTGTAACTTGCTCAGGATATTAAATTGCCCAAGCAGGCCTGGTTCCCCTCTTTCACATCCAGAAGAACCTCTTGACTTCCTGAAATGTTATTCCAAATCAATCACCAGAGCAGAATTAGTGCTGCTCATGGCACATGGAATCTTAAATCCTGCTGCTCTTGTTGCACTGAAATGGTTCCAAATATCCAATACACTTAATTTAATGTTTACCTCTGCCTTGGGAGCATTCCTAGGAAGAATCCTGGGACTTCTGAAATCACAACTGTGCTGTGACAAGAGTTTTGTACCACTGTCACCTGTCCATGGAGCAGGTCAGCAAACCTTCCCACTTCAGACAGAGCCCAGGAAATTCAGTCCCTGCTGGACTAATTCCAGGCTAATTTCACCATCATCCACCCACTCTTTGTCAGCCTCAGAGGGCTCCCAGTACCCCAATTCACCCAGTTCCAACAGTGCTGTTAGGTTATACAAGTTCATGTCTTTGGAGCTAAAAATGTATTATTCTGTGTGAATAATTAATATTAAAATTGAATGTATTCATTCTATGGTTTGTACAGAAACATCCCATCACATGGCGTAAAAATTATAAAAAGATAATTTCCTAGTCCTCACATTAAATCATTTCAGGTTAACCTATACCCAGTGGGGGTAGACTTTACAGATCTGCTGCTATTTTATGTACAACTGACTTCAGTTAAGAAAATAAAGACTTAGAACCCCAACTGTTTAATATTTGGATTATTATACAGACTTAATTGCCAATTCTACACGTATCATGAAAATGTTATATGCCTTGTTTTCTAATTTTTTTGTTCTTTCTTTAGTGATGCTGGCAAAAAACTCTCATGTAGGAAAACTCTCCACATCAGTGAATTAATGCACACTAAATAATTTTGGCCATGGAATGAAAATTTTAAGTCCTGTAGACTTAAAACAGGATATCCAAAAAATAGGAAAAAAAAAAAAAAGGAAAAAAAAAAAAAAAAAAAGAGGAGTGTGTGTTTAAAATTAGCAGAAGTCTATTTATTCAGTGCGTAGGGGAAAAGGAATGTCATTCCCCCATTTTCACTGGTGAGGTCTGACTTAAATTTACTGAGTCATAAATATTTGGCTAAAATAACCCTAAGTAATCCTGGAGTGGATTAGTGCAGGTATGGAACTCGAAGAATTGAATGACTTGTGTGAATACATGATACTCACAGGTTGGTAGAAGTTCAAAAGACGTCATCAGACATGGCCTCTAGCCAGGACACACACGTGAATTTACAAATTAAGTGCCCTAAACCCCATTTGACTTAACCTAGTTTATGGCTACTTTCTATTTTTCTACTCCTTTTGTAATTTTAATCTCATTAAAAGCTTTGCAATCGATTCAAAGGCAGATATGAATCAATACAACTGTTCCCAGACTTTAGCCACCAGAATACTTCAAGTTCACATCCCAGAGTCTGAAAATCTTGAATTCTTGAAGTCATTTGTTCTCAGGTTCATCTGATGTCCTAATTATTTTTGTGCTGAACTGATCGCTGTGGTTGCTACAGGAACCTGTTAGCTGGCAGAATCTTTACAAATCTGTTCTGGTTACTCAGCAAGACAGGATATATACAGTGGTGTAGGAAAAGGAGGCCTCTAACCTTTGGGATGTAGGCAAAGTGTCACCCTTCCTGGATACTTTCTTCCCATTAAGCACTGTCAGTGCAGAGCAGCTTTTCTGCACGTGTGCTCCACCCCCACCGCCCTGTGTGGAGCTCAGAACTTCCAATCCAGGGCAAACGGCTTCAAAATTTGTTTTTATTACGAGTTGAAACAAAAGCCTGTGTTTCCGCAGAGCACAGTTGTAAAATGCTTTCTTTTGTAACATCTTAAAATCTGGCATATTGAATTTTTCAAACATTATCTTAACGTCTCGGTATTTTTCCGCACTAATTTGTATCAAAACTGGCACATCTGCACGCACGCACACTACTCCTGCTCTCCCAGCGGGTGAGATGTCAGAGCCACTTTTCTCGTGGGAAATCACCGCTATTCCCTCCTGTCACCGTGCCCGGCACGCCGCGGTGCCTGTCCCGCTGTGCGGGGTCCCGGGCCGGGCAGGTGCCGGCGCTGCGGGGCTCGGGGGGCTGCGCTGGGCTCCCCCCGTCCCGCGCTGACCGCCGCCCGCTCCCCGCCCGCCATTTCCCGCACTCACTCGGGGGTGTTGATCCAGATGATGTCGAGGTGGCAGTAGTACACGCACTCCTTGTCCTTGTAGGTGTAGCAAGTGCAGCGCCGGGCCCGGTGCCGCAGCGCTCCGCCGTCCGCCCTGGCCCTGCCGCCCGCGGCCGCCGCCGCTCCGCTCTCGTCGCGCTCGCGGTGTCCCGGGCCGGCCGCCGGCAGCGCGGAGCGGGGCCGGGGCAGCGCGGTCCCTGCAACAGCCGCGCTCAGCTCCCGGCAAATCCCGGCAAATCCCGGCGCCCCGACCCCGCACACCCCCGCCCGCAGCCCCCTCGGGCCGGGCCCGACCCATCCCCGCTCCCTGCGGAGTCCCGGGGCGCCGGGAGCACCGTTATGTTCGTGTGCGCCCCGGGCTGCAGCGCCAGCCCGCCGGGTTCGGGAGAAACCAAAGGATGGCTTTGCAGTCCCGTTCTTTACAGCGCACCGGAGTGGGCTGCTGCTTACAGCCTTTTGGAAGGAGAGGGGGAAAAAAAAAGGCAACACAAAAAACCACCCAGCCTTTCTTTGTGTGCATGCGTGGAAGTGGGCAAAGAAAGAGAAATTCACGTTACCTGCAGTCGACGTAATCGTAAGTCCAAAGAGGAACAATAAACCCAGCTCCATTAAACCCAAATTGCACGCTGGTTAACTGCAGGCAAAGGTGAACTGCAGGCGCGACTGAACCGTTCCAGAAAGGATCACTTCAGGTTGGAGGCAGGGAATATCCTGGGGCTGGCGGCACACGCTGCTCCCGGGAGTTGGCTCCCACACGGAGGTGTGATTAGCGCTTCTCCCTCACAGTTAATTTCCTCCAGTGCAGACTTAGTCCTGAAGGGGAGAGTGTTGTCAAAAGAAGGGAAGATCCATCTCTCGGCTTTTCCCACACACACCTCCCACCCCACCCCCAAATCTGATCAGCAACCGGAGCTGCTGTTTTCCAGCTGCAGACGCCTCCCACCCGCCGACAGCTGCCGGCCTCCCCCGGGGCGCGGGCCGGGGGCGGGCACGGCCCCGCACCGCCCCCGCTGCCCCGGCAGGTAACGGCCGGGCTGGGGCAGCACATCCTCCCGGCAGCGCCGGGGGAGCCACAGCCCGCTGGGCTGCTCCTGCTGCTCCGGTTCATGGCTTTGAAATTACCTGATCCTCTTGCTCCGTGTCTGATTCCAGGAGGAATCGCTTGTGTAATAAAAACGCAGCTTTTTGTGTCAAAGCTGGGCTACAGGTTTGAGTGTTGCTTGGGGTTTTTTTTTCTCTTTCCCCACCCCCAAGACTCTCCTACCGATTTCTCTGGGTGAAATTAAGTCACCAATTTATTCATACTTTCTTTTCCCTACTTACCTATGAGCACCTCTTTGCAGGCAAAGCCACCTAAAGTGCAACACTTAAGACAAATTTCATATTGTGTAAAATACCTGATAGCTGGGCCTAGAAGAGCACTCCAGCTTGTGGCCCCATTTTCTATCATAATATCAGTTATTAAGTGATAATAGGTAAGGGTTTAAGATAATTGGCTGTATCTTTTCTTACAGTAGTATGTGCAGTATATCCTGTTTAGGGAAACACATGTTAGAGAGAGCACATGGAGACAGGCTGCAAACTTAATTGTGGATATTTTAAATCAAAGTGTTTCATTTAAGAATGTTTCAGTACTAACAGAGCTGTAGCCAAAATTTCTTCTGTGTATCATGCCAATTTAACATGTCCACTAAAATCTGTAAGAAACTGGTTGGAAGATCACCCAGGAGTTGTCCAAGTGAGGAACACTGTTCTCTGCAACCTCACATTCTTCTCCAGCCCTGCCCCCGACTCCAGCTTCTGGTGTGGACTGTCCAGTAACACTTGCAAAGAAACCTCATTAAGATGTCATGTTTTGTCAGCTTGTCAAGCCTTGCCTTTTGTCAGTGCCTGAAGATTGAGAGGTTGGAGTGGACCATGTTCCCAGCTGCTCACAAAAGCACGGTGGTCACCAGGCAGGGCAATAGCCTCAAGCAAGCCCACAGCTCTCTGTGGAAATTTAAATTGCTTTTATTTCACCCTGTTTGTGCAAATGACAAGATGTTCTCGTAATTAATACAGGGGGGAACCTGTAAACTACTGACCTGTACATTACTACAGAACCCCTGTAAATTACTGAATTTAACAGTATATTGAAGTTCATGCTCAAACTGGGAAAAAAATGCTTACTCACCTTGAGAGATGAGGAACTGCAGTGACCTGAATGTTTGTACCCTTTGTTTTGCTGGGTTAGGGAGGGTCTGTGTGTGTTCAAGTCAAGCTCCCCAAGCATCAGCAGAATTACAGAGTTACAGTTCAGCCTCACAGTCCTATGGGTGCTCTGTTTTGAAAAATATTATGACAAAACATCTCTGAAAAAAGGAATTGGTTTGAAGTTATTTCAATTTGTTATATATCTAGAAAAAAAATTGCTTCAGATCAGGAAGTTCTAGATATTGTACTCTCATGCTGTTGGATACAGGATTGATTTTGGCAAATGCTTATGATTGTGTTTTAACTTATCGGGAAAAGAAAAAGAAGATTTATTGTGCAGTTACTGTTTAACAGAACACTGAGAGAGTAGGAAGTACTGGTTACATGTTGCAGGTATTATAAATAACAATTACATCAGTCTAAATTCTGATTCATTAATTTCATTTTCCTTATTGCAACTATTACTAATTTTTATTATAATAATGCAAATTTATCATAGAAATGAGAAATATATAATATTTATCATACATATAGATATGTCATGACAAAACAAAAAACTGTGTTGTGTGTGAACTGATTTAACAATATTTTTCAAAAAATTATTGTGTTTTCTACATGAAATTTTGAAGGCATCTTCTACATTGTTCTACCTTTTCTTCCGTGTGCTTTAATCTCTGAAGAGCCAGGGGAGACCATATCAGCACCCACTGCTGTGCAAACAAAAGGAGTAATAAAATATATTCTTAAATCAGCTACCAGAGTTCAGAAATTAAGGGCAAGGGTTTGGCCAAATGACCTAATGTAAGCTTTAGAAGAAGATAAGACATAGACTCTACAGGAAGAAAGATACTCTCATCAAAGGAATTAATACTTCTGGTACTGTAGGCCTGATTCTCATTTTCATTGATTATCAAGTTGTTTGGGTCATGTATTACCTAATGACTTGGGAACTTTTTTTTTTTTCATAAATAAAACACTCTCTAAACAAGAAACATGATTAAGGAAATAGCAACAAATAAATTTTTAAAATCCAGGGTCTCTTTTGATTTGGGATAAGAAATAAAAGTTATCTGGATATGATTGTCAGTGATATTTATATATGATGCAAAATAGTTTTGTAAATCTATTTAATGATTATGTTTTCATTTAGTAAAAAAAAAAAAAAAAGAAAAAGAAAAAGAAAAAGAAAAAAAAAAACCAGTAAAACCAGTAGTAGCCTTGGAGGTAGCAGGCAGAGATTGGAAGCCAACAGATCTAATTCACAGTGTTTTTCAGCTTTTAATTTAAAGTTGTTTTACTCCATAGATTTTTTTTTTTCTTTTCCAGTTTCAAGACCTTTAGGGTGGATGGGTACTTTGCATAAATCTTGAGGGCCATGGACAAAATGTGTAGAATTAATCCTTCTCTTTATACCTTCAATCTTCCCAATTCCACCACATCCCCTCCTGCCCTTGTGCAGCCCTGGCAGTGCTGAGCCCGGCTCAGACAATGGGAATTCCCCAGTCCTGGGACACTTCCTCATTCTTAGGGCCACCCAGGCAGCTGAAGAAAGACAATCAGCAGATCTGCCTCATTGCTGGGTATAAATATTGTATATTTGAGAACTTCTAATTGACTGAAGGGAGAATAATCTCAGGGATGAGGTCAAGGCTGAAGGAGTCCTGGAATGTGGAGCAGCTGAAACAGATGATGTTAAGGCAAGTAAGCTCAGATTCCAGATTTTATATGCGAAAACCCTGGGCTGCCATTTCAATTAGGAACATAATCTTGGGTTTGTTTAGGACTCCTCTGCCCCTTGTATCCCTGCTTTATACATCCACTCCTGTGATTGTGGGGCAATCAGAGCCCCCAGCAGTAATTCCACAGCATTTAACCTTCATCATACAGGTGACTACACAAAGCAGTTGTGACTTACAAAGAAGTTCCAGATGTGTTTAAGTAAAGTCGGTTACTGAGAGAAACCACGTTAAAAGCTGAGTTCCTAGGATGTATTTACACGAGTAATAAAGCCTGTAGTTAAAAGGTAGGGTAAGGTTTCAGCAGCAGTGCAGGATTTTTTGGCACTGATGCCTGTTCTTACAGCTCCACAGCAGGCCAGGAGGAAAGCCTGATCAATACAGATATGGTCCTAAATAAAGACAACCAATCTAATGCTTTATAAACTATTCATACCTCTTTTCCCACCCTCTTGCTTCCTATTAGTCACTGTGTTCTTTAGTGTTATTGAAAAAAAAGGTCATATTAAGCTGCAAACTCTGTTTAGTAGCACACTCTGCACCACTCTCACAAAGCAAGCAACTTCATAGTGGTAGCTGATGTTGGAAAAATGTGCTGAAATCAGTAGGTTCTCAAGAAAACCTTATCTTCTGATTAATATTTGTTACTTTTTGCTGGAGTTCTATAGGCAGAAAGCTGAAGTTAATCTTGTCTCCCCTCGTGTTTCAGACAGTCCCATTCAGAGCCCTTTGATGTCAGTGCAAAGAATCCCATTTTTAGTGGCCTTTGAACCAGATGTAGTAAAAGGGCAACTGAGCATTTGTAGGGGTTGCAACTGGGTAACTTGCTTAAAGGAGGAGAGTTTGGATACTCCTTTCTGTTTTCCCCTTTTTTTTTTATTACTTTTAGTATTTATATATCATTAAGAGTAATGTAGATTCTTGGTAAACAGTGAAGAAGACTAATGCCTCAGCTCTGAGTGCTTCACTTTATTTAGATAAAAGCAAAGCAAAGAAGGAGCTCTGTGGCTGTTTTTCAGCCACACTAATTTAATGATTCCTGCTTGTTACAGCTATTGTGAAATTTAGGAAGGAGTTTGCATAAGATAACATATCCTGCTGTTGTAATGTACTGGAGACAGGGCTCAGATCTGTGGATAAGGAATGCTGCAGAAATCCTAAGTGTTATTATCACTACACACCACTCTCCCCAGGATCTGAACCTGACCTCCCTTCCTTGATCCAAACAATCTCTGTCTTTGTGAAAATAATAGGATTTGACAGGAAGAGAATTTTCCATAATTATTATGTGAAGCAGTTCTTTTCCTTCACATTTATTCATGTTTGGGCATGTTACTGAACGAAGAGAATTACATATCAAAATGTGATCAATCTGAACACTTCCAGTGTTTGTAAAGAATGGACAGAGAGCTGCCAGCAAATAAGAAGCTGGAGGTGAAAAACTGATGTGGTTGTCTTGCCAAAAGAACTTCACACATTTAAAAATGAGCAAGGGCTTGGGAGGGACAGCTTGTTTTTGGAGGTGCAATGGCGGGGAAGAAAACTCAAGCACCAAAACAAATCATTTTGGGCAGAAGCCAGTCTGGAGGGTGGTGTGGAGAGGGAGGGAGTGGTGTGCATGTATAAGGGTTTGGGTCTGGCCTGGTTTTCCTTCCTCAGCAGACTGATAGGAAACTTGTGGTCAATCATTTGTAGTGTGAGTGGCTGGGGGAGTCTGCAGTCCTGGGAGGAGAGGGAGGTGTAAAGATAAGCTGCAGGAAGGGGGCTTGAGAGTGGGGATGTCCCCAGAGCTATGGCTGACCCTCAGGTTATTATACAAAAAGTGAGATCCATGTGCTTCTCTGACAGCTCCTCCTTGGGAGCTCCCGTTCCTGGAGCTGGAGCCTGCCTGGATGCCTTTGAAGAGGCTTTTTTTGCATTTGTTGGAAAGCCAAAGGACCAAAAGCCCTGAA